ACTACTACTACTACTACTACTACTACTACTACTACTACTACCACCACTACTAATACTACTAGGTAGCGTTTTGAGACGGCCCTCCTTTGTCAAAACGTAAACTGTCACTGTCGATCAGCAATTTTAAGTTGTGGCTGAACCTGTCGTTCGTGAGCTGATCTTTTTTTTCTTTTTCGCTGCCTTGTCCCTCGTGCGGATTTTGGCATCGGTTGATGGTAGTCGGTGTTGCGCTTCGTCTTCACGGGGGAGGATGCTAGTAATCCTTATTCCTCTTCCGGTGGGTTTGTCGCGGGGCCTTCTTAGCTTGCATTTCTTAAGTTCGATGTGACCTTGTCCTGGCCTTTACGCACGTAATAGTGTTGGATTTTGTAGACCGCGGGAAGGTCGAGGTGCCTGATGACGTTGGCATCTGAATACCATGCCTCAAGCGTCAGTGTTTCCGATTTTGAGGTGCCTCGGTCTACGACGGTCGCTCCTGTTAGGACGGCCTAACGAACAGCCTTAGCCAGCAGTAGCTTGCAAGCCATGGCCACAACCCAAGCAGCCTATCGATCGGCCTACACGGGCGAATGTACAAAAGCCGTCAAAACGATCGATAATTCAGATTTTAAACCATTGTCATCCATTGAGCCAAACAACCAATGGGACTGGCCACCATTTGAGAAGGAAATCTGATTGGCTCAATGGACATCGTTACACACGTTGGTTCCCCAAATTTGTTGTATCTTGAACACTAAAGGACTTCTGCCGTTGCATCCTTCTTGTCGTATTCTCTCTTTGGGGACTCACACAGGACATCATTGGGCGGCAATATCTCGGCCTGGGCATCGTTATAACAGCTCCTTGAATATCGAAACTGAGACCACTCTCTTCAATATGTGTTGCAAGCTGCTTGTTTGGGCCTAGTCTCTGAGCCGCCAGTTCGTGTTCATGTAGGCGTGTCTGCAATTCTCGTCCTGTTTCTTCAACGTAACTGCAGTCTCCATCGTTGCAACGTGCCTTGTAGACAACTGCGGATGTTTCAGTGGGGGGCTGTTTGTCCTTAGATTGCATCACACGGCGGCGTATTGTCGCCTATGGTTGATGGGCCAC